CCGTGAGGTGTGGGGGCGGCGGCCGCGGCCCAGGTGAAGGGTACGGGAGGGATGGGAGCCTGCGGCGGGAACAAAGGAGCCGCCCTCAGCGTCTTCAGTAGGAGGGCGGAGAAAGGAAGGGGAGAAAAGGCGAAAAGAGGGGAAAAGGGAGAAAAAGGGGAAAAAAGGGGAAGAGGGAAAGAAAGAAAGAGAAAGAGAGAACGAGAGAAAGAAAGAGAAGAGAAAGAATGAGAGAAAGAAAGAAAAAGAAGGCAGGAGGGAGAGAGAAGAGCAAGAAAGAAAAAAAGCAGGAAAGAAAGAGAAAGGCGGAGAAAGGAAGGGGAGAAAAGGCGAAAAGAGGGGAAAAGGGAGAAAAAGGGGAAAAAAGGGGAAGAGGGAAAGAAAGAAAGAGAAAGAGAGAACGAGAGAAAGAAAGAGAAGAGAAAGAATGAGAGAAAGAAAGAAAAAGAAGGCAGGAGGGAGAGAGAAGAGCAAGAAAGAAAAAAAGCAGGAAAGAAAGAGAAAGAGAAGATAAAGAAAGAATGAGAGAAAGAAAGAAAAAAGGAAGAAAAGAGAAAGAAAGAAAGAGAAAGGAAAGAAAAAAAAGAAAATAGGTGAACATGCTGTAGATTCGCTCATTCTGCTGATCTTCTGTGCAATTGCATCCTAGGTTTTCATTCCCCATACACCTTTGGAAGGAGCTCACTATGACAGGGCAGAGTCTGAAGGCTTTATCTGAAGCGAATTTTGAAGACAATGAGATCAGCATCAACGTCGGAGGCTTTAAGAAAAAGATGAGATCCAACACATTATTAAGGTTCCCTGAGACCAGGCTGGGCAAACTGCTGAGCTGCCACTCAAAGGAGTCGATACTGGAGCTCTGCGACGACTATGATGACACCAAGAATGAATTTTATTTTGACAGGAACCCCGAGCTCTTTCCTTACGTGCTACATTTTTATAACACCGGCAAGCTCCATGTGATGGGTGAACTCTGCGTGTTTTCTTTCAGCCAGGAGATTGAATACTGGGGAATCAATGAATTCTTTATAGACTCCTGCTGCAGCTACAGCTACCATGGGAGGAAAATGGAGCCAGACCAAGAGAAATGGGAGGAACAAAGTGACCAGGAAAGTACCACATCGTCTTTTGATGAGATTTTGGCATTCTACAACGATGCCTCTAAATTTGACAAACAACCCTTTGGAAACATCAGGAGGCAGCTCTGGCTCGCTTTGGACAATCCTGGGTACTCAGTCTTAAGCCGAATCTTCAGTGTCCTTTCAATTGTGGTGGTGCTGGGCTCCATTGTGACCATGTGCCTCAACAGCCTCCCAGACTTTCAGATTGTTGACAGCAACGGGAACCCCGAGGAAGACCCTCGCTTTGAAATCGTGGAACACTTTGGTATTGCATGGTTCACTTTTGAACTGGTGGCGAGATTTGCAGTAGCTCCTGACTTTTTAAAATTTTTCAAGCATGCCCTGAATTTGATTGACCTAATGTCTATCCTTCCATTTTATATTACCTTAATTGTCAACTTGGTGGTGGAAAGTAGTCCGACTTTAGCAAATTTAGGCAGGGTTGCACAAGTCCTGAGACTCATGAGGATCTTTCGCATCTTAAAGCTTGCTAGACACTCCACAGGTCTCAGGTCTCTTGGAGCCACTCTGAAGTATAGCTACAGAGAAGTGGGGCTTCTTTTACTTTACCTCTCTGTTGGCATCTCCATTTTCTCAGTAGTGGCTTACACCATTGAGAAAGAAGAGAATGAGGGGTTAGCCACCATCCCTGCTTGTTGGTGGTGGGCTACCGTTAGCATGACCACAGTTGGCTACGGGGATGTTGTGCCAGGCAGCACCGCTGGCAAGTTGACGGCATCTGCATGCATCCTAGCTGGTATCCTAGTGGTAGTGCTTCCCATTACACTGATCTTCAATAAATTCTCCCACTTTTATAGGCGTCAGAAGCAGTTAGAGAGTGCCATGAGAAGCTGTGATTTTGGTGATGGCATGAAAGAAGTTCCGTCAGTCAACTTAAGGGACTACTATGCCTATAAAGTTAAATCCCTTATGGCCAGTCTTACCAATATGAGCAGGAGTACGCCCAGTGAGCTGAGCCTGAATGATTCACTGCATTAGTGTACAAGTTTGACAGCAGTTTGCATGAGAGCTACCAAGAGCTATGTTTATAAATGTTTTCCTATTTGTCTTCTTTTTTCCTAGAGGATAGCGTTGCTGACACTGCACTAACTTTGCACTTGAGAAACTAAAGACATTTCTATTCCAAGTTGACAGTTTGCACATTGTCATCCTGTTGCATAGGAACTAAATGCTGACTTTTCCATACAAATGTTACCACTTCCATGACATTAGTGCTAGCGGTATAGTGATGATCTGTTGCTTTGTGCATTTCCTCATCTGAGCCGAGAAATGAACGTACCCAAGTAGAATAAAAATTCTCAGCTGTGACACGAGTAACGAAAAAATCACCTGTCACCTATACTGGTTTCTGTACTAGTGTAGGACTTCCCATGCATTTTACAACAGTTTAAAACAATCACCTGTGAATCACTGACACGGGAACACTTTTCCCTATCTTTGTGACCGGTAATTCTGGTCGTCACGTGTCTGAAAAAACACCTCTGAGCTTCACATTTCAATGGAAGTTTGCTTACTCTTGAGCACGTGTGTTAAAAACTGGGTGTTCTTGTTCTGAAATGTTACATGTGGTAATATTTTTCAGAAGCTCCTAAGCATAGACCTACCTCTGCTTCAAAGATTAGGTCAGGCCCTTCAAGGCCCTCTGAAGAAGCCCACCCCTCATTTTCAGACAGCTACATATTCAAAGACTAGGTTTCCACGAGTGACTGTGGGTATGGAGACCCATGAAGACATCTCAGGTTCCCATTTCCAGAAGTGATCTGCACACAGCTCAGTTCCAGTGAAGCTGAAGATACACTGTATTTCAGTCCGTCAAAATGGTTCTGAGATTAGACACACAAAACCGTGGGCTTTCAACAATTAGAAACTCCAATGAAAAACTTGGATTTGTTTAATGAAGCGAAATATTCCCACATGAACAGTACAGGCAGCATTTAGGAACTGACATTCATATACTGCAAAAAGACTAATTATAAAGATGCCATATGTGATGCTGAGATATAAAATCTAATTTTATCGGGAAAGCTTGAAAGCAGGTGTCGATGGCAGACAATTCCATTAAGCTTTCTGCCAAGAAAAAAAAAACCCTGTAAGTCACATTTTCCCTCAGAAAGGAACTCACAACTTACAGCTAAGGAAGAGTATAAGAGCCTAAGAAAGGAACTGATAAAGGAGAAGAGCTTAATACTGCACTCACTGTGGGCAGATCCTCCTACCTGCTTCTGTGACGAAACAGATTTAAATCCTTTCAAGGGCTAGCCTGTACTTTTTTTTTTTAAAAAAAAAAAAGACGTGACAGAGCAGATCATCTGGGTTTTCAAGAGTAATCATGAATCTGCATAAACTTATTTTTTGAGTGCTCAGCCTCTTCCCTTACGCAGTTGTACAGAGATCAAACACTTGCAGCCAACAGGCAGAAGCCACTGCTTCCCTCTCTTTAGACTTCTAGAGATCTGTGCTATAAAACAAACTACTAGCACTCACTGGGCAGAACAGCATTTCTCTTCAGATCCTGCTGCTTTTCCATCCCATTTATTACACATAATGTTCCAATTAATTTTTTTTTGTTTTACTTGTAAAGACTAGAGAGGTTCAGAAAATAAATTTGAACTAGTTAGAAGAGAAATTAAAATACTAAAGCTAAAATTGTCATGTTTGGAAGCCTGTGTTTGTATACCACAACAAGGAGTGGCCCAACTGGCAGACTAAAGCAAATATCATATGAATAGGTAATTCCCCTTTTTAGGCTATCAGAGGTTGCTGTCTGGTCTGGATCTTTTATGTTTTTGCTGTATCAGCTCCACCTAAAACCAGAAGGCTGAGCACCCCGGATCAGACTCCTGTATGCCCAGTGATCTATCACAGAATACGCAGTGTGAAATAACTTACCCCCGCGCCGTTTCCTTTGAACACCCTCCCCTCACGTCAGTTAGCAGTTGATTTAGGCCATGAAGCATGAGGGAAACGGGTCCTTTCTAACCTAACCAAATAAAACTCTTGGAGATTTCAACATAGCCTGCACAAGTTATAAAGTCAATAGGCAAGACATTGCTTGCTGTCCCTGAAAACTGAAGAGCCATATACATGGTCCTGAAGGCAGACTTAGATAACCCAAGTTAGGTGTCCAAACTTGAAACATTTTGCTAAGGTTTTCACTTCAGGAGGGCTGGTTCAAGTTCTCTGCTGGGTCACAGGCATAAATTCAATAGTCTTGTCCCTGCTTCATATTGCATGTGTGTAAACTATCATACAAACATCCATCCAAAACACGGCACAGCGCTAGGTTGCCCGTTGGATTGAAATACCATGAAAGAAAGAAGGGAAGGAAGAGGCGGGCTTGCGCAGCACATACATACACTCCAGTCGGGTTACATCCTGCGAGGGTGGCAAACTCTCCCACTGATGTCAAGGACGCTGCAAGTTCTCACTAGGCCTGTTGGTGGGGGCCTTCGGAGAACCCAGCTCCAAGGAGTGGTTTTAGCTCAGTTTCACAAGCAGTAGATTGACGGAGTTGAAAACCAATGACTTTCAGGGCAGTTATTTGAAGAGACCTGTAAACTTGCCAAAGAGTCACAAATTCCCTCAGCTGTTGCTAGTTTAGCATTGCACAGGTTGGATCCAAACTTTGCAACACATCATTTCAATAACCTATGGCTTATCTTATGTTCTAGATTTATTATTATTTGTAGGGCTGATGCTGTGTCATTTCTGCAAATATTGAATGGAACGTGTCCAAATTGCGTTTTACTAAAGAAAATGAAATGCCCCAAGGAATTATGACTTTTATTGTACTGGTTGAAAGGAATTTTCATTATTGCTTTTTTATATAAGTGCTTTGGATCAAAGACACTAAATAAATAAAGTACTGAAATTTAATATGTTCTTATTATCATGACAATGACTTTACACAGTACACAGGAATTCCCTTCATAAACTTAACTAACTCCATGTTAAAAGTAGTCAGATTTTTGCTCCCCCCTCCTCCGGAAGAGCATTCCAGAGCTGCGCTGCTCTCCAAGGCTTGCGCAACTTTTATCTTCATTTTATTAATGGCTGCTTTATATCAGTTTTTTTCTCTGTTCTTTAGCTTAAATATTTCATTTTCCTCTTAATGTCTGTATGCATGGTGTATTTATAGACAGCAACCATATGACCTTACATGCTTATTTTCACAGGATTATACCTGCCAAGCTTCCTTGTAGTTTTCTTTTTGCAAGTCATATTCCCCTGCCCATCCTAGGGGATGTAACCTTTTTTTCTGCATTACTTCTGCTTAGATTTAATCTGTTTGAGCCGGCGTTGTACAGTATTCTATCGCTTTGTACAGCAGTTTTAATATTTCCTTATGACTAACAGAATTTTTCACTGAGGAGGATAACAATTGTTCCAACTTAAGTAATGTTGTTGTCTTAGCTCCCCCAAAATATCTAGGTAAGGAAGAATGAGGCACACCCTTCCTGTCATTTTATGAAGTAGCCTCTATTCCAGGGCTCAGTCCAATAAGTGCTGAGAATCCTCATCTCTCATTAAATAAAAGCTACAGAAAAACGTTTACACTTTGAAGGAAAAAATTCAATCTCTCCAAAGGCTCAATGAGGAGAAGAGGTGGTGTACTTTCTGAGTAGTCAGTACTTTTGCTAGGCTTCTTAAATCACTGTTTGGTGAGAGTAGGGCATCTTCACATCTATAAAACAGCGGGTCAGAAATGAGGGACAAGAGGACTAATTAGCTGCTTCCTCCAGCGTTTGAAACTTGAAAATCGCTGTGGTCAGAAAGATGCTTACTATGGATGTGCCGTTTAATGAAAAACGTTGCACTTGGCATGTGTGCCTCCTGCCTTGTGATGGCCACCTTCCTGGCACCAGCGAAAATGCTGCTCCTTTCGGCTGAGAGCTTTGAAGTGCTTAAATGAGGATTATGGTAATATTTCAAATGAGGCAACTTGCTTTATTGCCAGGAATAAATTGTTAGAGAATCTTGATTTCTAGTACAAATCTAGGCTATTATGAGTCGGAGATGTCCTTGAGAAGCAATATGTTACATTATTTTCCTGAGATGTAAAATCTATATATAGATTGTGATTAAGCTTTTTATGTATGTTCAGATTCTGTATTATTGCCTGGTTTATTATTCACTTACTTTCATCAGTTGCTAATTCTCTCTTCAGACTGTTTTTTCCTCACATATTATCTATAGCATGAGCTACTTCACATTGCAAACATAAAAACAAAGAACGTTGCATTTAATTTTCCAACTTTAATACCTCCAGTATTTGTACATTTTTGTACAGGACTTTATGAGACTGCAGGGAACTCCTGTATCTGGTGCTCTTTGTACTGCATTTCTTGTCCCAGTAGTGTATAACACACTCAAGAACTCAGCTTTGTGCCACAAAATGGAAATTAAATGCATAAAAAAGTATATTTCACCAGGGATTAAGAACTGATTTAAGTTTCGGGATATTCTGAGTATATGTTATAATCAAAGAGAAGCCTGGATCTCATTGTGAAGATAGGTTTCTTTTTAAACATATACATCAAGCTAGATTTCTATTTTTAGAAATGCTCTTAATTGGCGGTGGTGGGAGGGGAACCCACATTTTTCAGTTGAGCAAATAGCACAAGCTTCTTGTTCTCTACCTCACAGATTAGGGACTAAGCAACATACCAATAGCACTTGTAGGTGCTAAATCAACTTGACATGACCTTTCATCTCTTCCAAAACAACCCCCATCCTTAGAGGCCCCAGCTGCGCACATATAAGCAGCAGAAAGCCCCTGGAGGAACTGCTCTTGCTGTGCTCGTTATCTGTTTCCTCTCACAATACTCCTGACTTCAATCTACCTTTGATGGTACTTTCAAACAACATTCAACCCACAGTCACCACTCGTATCCCTTGGTGAGGTGTTGTGCCAGAACTATTCTTTTCTCATCATGTTGTTATTCCTTTCTTTTTTTTTTTTTCCCAATTTATGCACCTGGCTTTCCATTAAGTTACACCAGAAATTAATTTGATCTCCTGTAACTTATTTTCAAGGTGCCCACTGTTTAGGCAGGGCTAGAAGAATATTCCCATCCAGTTTCTGAAGTATCTTTTACTGATTCTGCCTTTTTCCCGTAAAAAAAAAAAAAAAAAGAAAAAATAGAAAAGTAAGATGATGCTTCTCAGCTGAGAATAATTTACTGGGTTAACAATGCAACAACAAGCAATACATTATTCAAAGAAACAATTCTCTGCTTAGTTGATTCAGAGAGAGCCGTAATGTCTGTGCCCCCGGAGCAATCGCCGAGTTTGTTAAGAAACATCACCCTCATTAAGGACTGTG